TCGAATTTTTTTTTTAATCCATGATAGAATTTTTTGAAAATTTGTGATTTTTTTTTTTAATCCATGATCGAATTTTTTTTGTAATCCATGATAGAATTTTTTGAAAATTTGTGATTTTTTTTTTTAATCCATGATCGATTTTTTTGAAAATTTGTTATTTTTTTTTTTTAATCCATATTATTCAAAGAGAAAATGAGAGAGATGATGATTCTGTGGCCACCCTATCCGAGCCATATTATTCACATATCGTGTCCCAACAGCAACAGTGTAGGGATGAGCACGACAGTGCAGGTGAACATGAAGGATGGACAATCTTCGGGGATTTTAGATTGGAAACACAACAAAACACTAACACTCAAGGATTTGGGAATAGTCAGACGCCTGCTAATATCGATGATTCGTTTTTAGATCGAATCAATGAATTGTTAAACGAATTCAATCAATGGCACCAGCGTGACCAAGAAGAACAATAACGTCGTCTATCATTTTATTTTTAGATCATATGTTACTAATTTTATGCTTTATTGTAGTCCATGTATGTTGATATACTTATTCCATAATAATTCTATGTTTATCCTTTTGTGTGATGTAAATTAAATGCTAAATGGCAGTTCATGCAGGGAAAGAACATATCAATATTCGCATATTCATTCAAAAGCATGAAAATTCTTAATGGAGTACTCTCATTTCTTATTGAATTCCTAAAAAATAATATTTATACTGAATTTTAATAATTTTTTCGGATTTTTTTTAAGCTTTATTCTGACCTGTTCACCCGATTCCCGATCCGGATCGTCGATTCGTCGATCCGGATCGATTTTTTGGAAGCCCGATTGGGGTCATCGATCCGTTTTTTTAAACCATACAAAGGGTTGGTATTGTGTCCATAGCATGTGGACGCTTAGAAGGTGCACAGACACTTTTTAATGGTTCAAATTGAATCGAGCCCATCCAAGGGCCAAAATTGAACCTTGTTTTTTGTAATTTTTATTTAATAATAATTTTAATCTAAAATTTGGGTTTTAGTTTTATTATTATAACCAGAATTAAATAAAAATAATAAAAAACATTTTGAATGAAATATGGATCAAAATAAATTTATGGGTATTTTAGTTATTTTCATTTAAAATAATTTTATTTAGTTTTAGTTTTATTATTATAAGCAGAATTAAATAAAAAGAATAAAAAATATGGATCAAAATAAATTTATGGGTATTTTAGTTATTTTCATTTAAAATATTTTTATTTAGTTTTCTTTATAAAGAGAACTGACACCGAAAAATTCAGATATATATTTTATTTAAATAAAAAATTAAAAACAAAAATATGAAATTAATTTCTGACCATTAGATATGCCTTGTGAAATCTAAACAGTGGGAAGGGTGCTTGTGCACCAGTCCACCCGTCCACATGATGTGGACGGAATACTTTTCCAAACCCAAAACATGAACTAAAATACCGGTTTCCTCAAAAACATACCATTTATGCATTCTTGCTGCTATTTAGATTACCTTCTCTTTCACAAATTGAAGCTCCTGGGTGTCTCATGTAAAACCTGATTTGGTGGTCTCTCTTTTTATGGTGCACGTATACACATACCTCTTTATTTGTCCTAGTTTTAACTCTTCATATAATGTTTCCTGAACTTTTTCAGGCACACCAATGGCTGACAGACTCTGAAAGAGAGCAGCTATGCAGGCTCATGGATTGTCAAAAGCTCTCTCTAGAGGCCTGCACACATGCTGCCCAAAACGAGCGCCTTCCTCTAAGAGTTGTAGTGCAAGTCCTCTTCTTTGAGCAGCTTAGACTGAGAACCTCCATAGCTGGCTGGTTCTTTGTCTCTGATAATCTCGATACCTCTCGGCCATTGAATGGGTCTGATAACGACAGAGCTTTGCCGATGGGACCTAATCGAGATGGAAAGGACCCACATTTCTTAAAGGCAGGCATAGACGAGATGAAGTTGAGGATGAATGAGCTTGAGAAGGAATGCTCTAGCATGAAGCAAGAGATCGATAAGATGGGGAAGACTAAGAGTGCGTGGAATTCTTTATCTAGGAAGTTCAGGTTCAGGAAATCTCGAGTCTGCAATGCTCAAGATGGTCCAGTTCCTACCAACCCTGATCAAGGAAATGGCTAGTTTGGTTGTTCAGACAAATTGGAATTATGGAGAAGTTGCACCTCTGTGTGTGTATGTGTGTGATGGCTCTGTTAGCTGTTTAGAAGTGTGGTTATAGGAAGTAGTCTCCCTCTCCCTCTCTCTCTCTCTGCGCGCATTCATGTGTCTCAAATTCTGATTCTTTCTACCCTGATTCTTTCACTAAGCCATTCTTTTAGTGTCATTTGTTGTATTTCTTCATTTGAAGGAAGGGAATTTTGATTGATGTGTATTTCATTTTAGTATTTGATTAATTTTTGGAATTCTAATGGTACTTATTGTATGGTTTTAGAGGGTTGGCATGTGTCTCTCTTGAGATGGATTATTGGGTTAGGATCTGTCTTTAAATGGTCTGGATTTGATCGATTTGAATTGATGGTCTTGATTGGAGATTGCAGTTTTGCTTTTACATCTTTGTTGCTTTAATTTATAATAGTTTATCATATGACTTGGGATGAATATCATTACAAAGGCTTATATTATCTAGGGGTGGCAACGGGTTGGGTTGGGCCCAGACCTGAATTCATCGGAGCCAGATTCAGACTCGGACGTGGACCATTTAAATATCTATATATTTAATTATGAGCAATGATATCATGCAATCGTTGTATAGTAATATGATGCAACAAGGTTAAAAGACCTTATGGTCATTTGTTTGATCCAAATTTTGAAATATACACTATTTTAATTTTAATGAACAATCAACAAAAAAAAAATGAAAACACAATTTAGAAAGTATTTTCATGGCCCAATTTAGTGAGATGCTTAGATTTAGGTTTTAGAAAGATTTTTTCATTTCCAATTTTTTTGGATGACTTTATTATCATTAGATGAACAATGTTAAAAAAAAAAAAAAATTGATTTTGAGTTTATAAAGGCTAAGATTTTGAAATTCACAAAATGAATGATCTAGATTCGTTTTTGGAGATGACTCATTTTGACAATATCAAGGGTTCAAATTTTACTTTTTTTTTTTGAGATTGATTATTGAGATGAAGAGAGTGTGTATGCAAAATTTGGGGTTATATAAATACCATAAACATGGTTTTCTAGAAGTGTCGCATTATACTATGATACAACCGTTGCATTGGATCATTGCTCTTTAATTATAGGAAAAGTATATGATGAGACCATTTACTTTTGGTACAAGGTAGTCACAATTAATCTTGACTATTAAATGTGAAATTGAGTAGCTGTATTTACTTAATTGACTGATTATAAGTGATTTTTTCAAACTTTGTGACACACTCAAGCAATTGGATTTCATATCGAATTCAAAAGAAATTTTGTTAAACTTTCAATTGAAATTCAAAAGAAACTTCTTTTGAATTTAATTGAAATTTAAAAGAAATTTTCTCAAACTTTGTGACACACTTAAGCTAATCGGATTTCACATCGAATGATTGTAAGTAATTATGACCTCCTCACACAAAAGATAAATTGCCTCATTGTATACAATCCTTTAACTATATTTAAATATATTTCATATGTTGGGACCCAAAAAAGTTACTAGACTCGGACCATAACTTGATCAAACCTTGATCCCTACCTGAATAGTATTCCGGTCCAAGATATGGATCTGGATGGGATCTACCACTCAGATCCTCGATCAGAAAAAAATTCAAGTGGTCTCCCCTTGCACTGTAGGATTTACTTTCAAACGTTTTTGAAATGGAAGGTGCATGCCCTAATTCAGTGAAGGGATCCACAAACTTTATCTTCTTCTTTGGAAGAGAAGATGAGGTTTATCCGTTTATGGCCGAAAAGATAAGGTTTATGGCCTAGTAGAAGGGACATGCCCCAATATGGTGGCAGTAATTGCAAGCAAGTCGCTTAAGGAAAGGAGAAAATCTTGACCGGGAGGAAAATGAAATCCTTTTTGAAATAAACTAAAATCAATATATTTTTTTTAATTGATTTGAGCCCAGTTCACCTACTTCAGTGAACCTAAGTACTAATATACTTCTGGTGCTTCAAGGATCCCAATGATGACAGTGGTGACTTTGGAATTTTGAATCAACTTTTTTCGAGGAGGTACCTTGATGAAATGATAGAAAAATGATAAACTATGTAACTTTAATGTGATCTTTTGAGTTTGGTCATATTATAAGACAATTTAAGCCTTTTCTTAATATTTTCTCAAATAAAGAAAAGAAAAAGAAAAAGTGTTAAACTGGTGTTGCTAAGCCATATATAAAAAAAAGTGCTAGCCTAAGATTAAATAGTATTACACAAATTTGTCCAATAAAAGATAGGGAAATTCCAGTTTTCGAGGAGAAAAATTATTAATGGAGGCCCAATAGGCCCTAACTTCAAGGCCCATTTTTTGGGCCACTTATTATGTGAGCTTACATGTGAAGTCTAAGCGAAGACTAAGGCCTGTGGGTGATGCTGAAGTCCTTGTCTTCTTTTCTATCATATATAATCAAATATGAAAGAGTTTATATACTATTGAAGTAAGATACACCACAAAAATATTATAGAAGAGAGGGTTTTGATCTTGGAGAAACCTCCAGTCAATCATCTAACATCTTGGCCTCGAGATGTGGAAAAAACAAAAGAATTTCATGACTTAAAAATCGTGCATCTTGTAACAAGTTATTTTGACTGTCTATTTCCAGGATTTCAAATCTTTATAAATTTTCAAGATTTTAAAATTCTTGAAATTTTAATTTTATAACTATCAATAAAATTAGATTTTCAAGCCATCAACAGATTTTCGAAATTGAAACTACATCTCCAAGTAAAGTTTAGAGGTGCATCTTACTTCTACAGTATAAGAAATGTGCCTTGTAGAAACCTCACCCATTAAATATTATGAAAATATTAAAATATTTGATGGTTAGGATTTTATCTTTTATTATTCTTTCTAGCTCAAAACTAGCCCATAGTGCTCTTAAAAGATCTTTAAGTCCAGCTGGAAGGTTATGATATTCTTTTTCTTACTATCTCTCACACATATATATAGTATACTAGCTTTGCTTTAGAAAAAAGGCAGACAATAAATATTTGGTTTCTATTCAACTACAATTATCATATGTTTCATTGTGAGGAAAGTATGGCACCTCTGAATCCTTTTGGAGAACGCAGTTTTAGCATAGTAAACCTCTATGATGGCTTATTGTTGCCCTTAGACAATGGATTTTGAAAATTAAAAAATGATATAGATTTGACTAATTAATAAAAATTTAAAATAGACCGTCTGAAAAATAGGGCATTTCATGCAACAGTTGTATCTTAATATAATGCAACCACACTTCTAAAAAATCATGTTTGTGGTATTCGTATGACCCAAAATTTTGAACACGTGCTCTCTTCATCTCAATAACCAAATCCTCCAAAAACAAAGGTTCAAATTGAAACCAAGATATGGTCAAAATGAGTCCCTTCCAACAATTAATCTAGACCATTCATTTGGTGAATTTCAAGATCTTAGACTTTACAAGCTCAAAATCATTTTTTTCTTTTTTTAACATTGTTCATCTAATGATAATAAATACATCTAAAAAAATTGGAAAAGAAAAAATCTTTCTAAGGCCTAGATCTAAGCATCTCAACAAATGGACGGCCTATGTTAATTGAGCTAAAAAAATACTTTCTAAGTTGTATTTTCAAAATTTTCTTTGTTACGATTGTTCATCAAAATGAAAAGAGTATATATTTTAAAATTTTGATCAAACAAATAGCCTTGACATAGTTTTGAAAGGTTGTTGCAGCATTATGTAATACAACTGTTGCATGAAATCACTGCCCATAAAAAATATGTTACAATAGAGTCTATTTTCAACGCTTAAAATCATTTTTTTTTTATTTTTTACAAATCTATGATAATTGCAGTAGAGATGATTGATTTGTGAGCTTTCTAGCACCAAAGCTTCATTTTCCAAAGCTAGAACTATATTTTCTAATGAGATTGAGGTGTGGCTTTATACAGCTGTAGCTAGGGGTGACAACGTGTCTGGGTATAGGACTTGGACCTGGACCGACCAAAACAGATTGGACCCAACTCAAAATTTAAAATATATATGTATTTAAAATATATTTTAGTATAATTTTATAAATTGGAAAAAGCAAACCCAGAACAGGATTCAGACCCTGACTCGAATGGTATTCTGGTCCAAGATTTAGTCCATACCCAACCCATCAGTCTCCAATTTTTTGACCCATACCCGGACCCAGGTCGAGTCTAGCCATTGGTCTTGGTTCCTTGCCACCCCTAGCTGGAGCACAGTGAAACAATTCCCCATATTTGGAACACAAGCGCCACTTTCTATCTTGTTCATTTAGAAATTAGATCTAGTGTTTAAAAAAATGGATTCCATGCTGGGCTAAACCAGATAAGTGATTCCAATCTGGACAAGCCAAGTAGACAGATCTGGTAAAAAAAAAAAAATTGAAGCCAAAAAAAATCCCAATAAATTGCGAACAAATTTTAAAAACTTATACCACCGCCTTCTGTTTAAAAAAGTTCAAAGGCTACATTGTTTTTCAAATGAATTTATCAAAACACCTAGATACTGATCTGAACCAATTTTAATAGAAAATAGAGGCAAATTGATGGAAATCAGGGCAGAAACTCGAAGTATGGATAGAGGCATAAAGAAATTGAGAAGCCCAAAATTTATGGCTTGAATTTCTTCTATTCATGGTCTAGATTAAAAGAAGTTTTACCTGGGCATTGAAAAACAAACAAAACATCAGACAAAATGGATAAAAAAATATGAGAGAAGCATGAAAAATGGCATATCAACATCAAATAAGGAGGGGAAAACCTCGAAATGGTGGCACAGATTTCTTTAATTTAGAATTTTGATCCAAAAATCTTTCACATAGATTTGATAGATGATTAAGAACGAGTGAAATAAATAAAAAGTAATGCAGATAAGGCATAAAACATGAGTAAAAAGTGCCAAAATTTGTATATTTGATTCCTTTGATTTGGAGTTTTGTTCCGAGAGACGATTCAAACACAAACAAACCTAATTTAAGCAAAATTAGTTGAAAATGAGATCGAAACAACAAAAAGCTGGTCATTTTTTTTATGGTAAATAGGGATGGCAATAGACCTGGAACTAGATCAGACCTGGGACCCAAGGGGTAGACCCGACGTGGGTCTAGGTATGGATCCAAAAATTGGACCTGGTGGATCGGATCTGGGTCATAATCTTGGGCTCAAATACTACTCGGATCCGAGTCCAAGTCCCGGTGTGGTAATATCATTTGGGTCCTAATATATAAAATATATTTAAATGGGTGTGGTTTCTACAAGTTTGCAACCGTAAACAATCCAATTGAAGTGCACCTCCAAATTTTATCATAACATTTAATTTTGGTGTAAAAGTTCTTAAGATTATTTAAAAATCTATTTTCATATCTAATTATA